TTGTTTTTTTTTTTTTTTTTAACGGATGTCCCGTGATGGGATCAGGGGGAAAAAAAGAGTTAAACAAGTGCTGGAAGCCTCCAAGAAGTGTTTTTCACTGAGGAAGGAAACTTTTTTGCATACTTTCTTAAAACTGAGTTTACAGGAATTACAATTAGGAGCCTACTGGGTAAAATCCTGTCAAACTATCCAAAGATTGTTTTTTTTTCCATGTGGATTTGGCATGTGGCAATAATGGAATGAAAATTGTTCAACCAATTTCAAAACTTCAGATCAATCATTTGATATGAAATCACTTCACTGCCCCTGAAGCTCCAAGGCTAGCTTTCTGTTCCTCAGAATCCATCAACAGAAGGTGTTCGAAAACGCCTGGTCAGGGCAAACCGCTGAGGGCGAGGAAACCCTGTGTGCCAAGACAAACACGCACGAGATATCCTTCCTCCTGCATTCCTTCTGCCTGCATTTTCAATGAACGAAGGAAGAAAAGAGAGCGGTACAGTAAAAGAGTGGGAAGAGAGAGAAAAAAGTGAGAGAATGGGAAGGGAGGGTGCTGAGAGGCTGATGGGGAAGGGAGTCAAGAGCTTATGGAGTGTAGAAACGTTGTTAAGTCAGAGGTCAGAACAGTAATGGGCTTTGCATTTAAAAGGTTAAATGACTCAGATGTTGCTTTTCCATCAATGTGTGAACACTTAGAGCTTAACTAACATTAAAGACATAACGTTCCCTAAAGAAACACATTCCACCGCCTTTGATGTCAGACTTTAAACAAAGTTCATATTATGATGAAAAGAGATTGAGTTACAGCTGTTTTAGTCAAACCTTATAAATAATGCCACGAGTACTCTCATATACTGCGAGATGACTCTCAGCTACTAACACACCAGTTTTCAGCTGAATATCTGCTAAATTAACCACATTCCAGCCATTTCTGTGCTGGTTAAGATCCATTAGCTGTGGTGGCCATTTTGAATTGAGTCGGCCCAAAAGTTCATTATTTGTAGACACGTATACCCAATAAATGTTTTCTAAAGGTTTGATTAAAGTATGTCCACTGGTTCAGACAACGTGCACACACAGACACGATCAAAACCCTAATTGGATGAACGTAATTTACCTTCAGCTGTGGGTGATGAAATTTGACAAAGATGCATTTGCATATCCAATTAAACAGATGGAACATAATTATTAACACAGGGAATACAAAACAAAAGCTGCATCCTGTAACAATATCCATATGTATGTATTACCTGTGCAGTCAGGTAAGAAAAACAAATATGCATGTACAGTGTATTGTGTTGGCCCCTCAGTTGTGGATATACATTATATCCAGTGTTAAAAGACACAAAGACATGAGCAAAAACATTATCCTCCACCTTCACTGTTTAGTAGCAGGCAATAACAAACACAGGGCCGGTCCATGGCATAGGCAGTACAGGCAAAATACTAAGGGCGCAGTTCATCAAGGGGGCGCCGCAACTAGGGGGACAAAAACAATTGTTTTTCTGTTGATTTAGTCTGTAGAGTAATGATTAGTGTGTAAATAGAAAATAAAATAAGGTTAAAGGAAGTTTAAGTTATGATCTCAGACAAAGTTAAGGTTAAAGTTTCGTTTTCTGTGTTTTACCTTCATAAAATGCTGATTTTATGTTGTTTTATTAATCCCAAGAATTTAGTAAAATGTTCTTCAAATGCGTGCAGAGTTTTGAGAAGATCTTCTACAAAGATCTTTCCAGGAGAGTATACCCCTGGACCCCCCCCCCCCCCCCCCCCCCCCTAGAACTGCTTTACTCCACAGCTGCTTATTAACATGAACAGGTGTTCCTCATTGCTGTCAGCAGATCTTGGTAGGTATGATGTAGACTTCTGGTACTCTGCTACAAATTAACTATATTGTTAAAGATTTTAATTGGACAGCCTGGTTTCTCAAGGCAAAACATAAAATCAAAAACAAAACTTTTTCATTTGATTTGTGAGATTCAGAAAATTCCACAAAAGGCACCACCAGAAATCTTGCCCAGGGTGCCAAATCGACCAGGGCCGGCCCTGAACAAATACGTGCTGATCTATATAAAGCATCTAACTACAGACACCCAACTGTACATCAGTTTTAATCAATTTGGCCTCATTTCCAAACCGTTTACAAAATAATCACATTATTTTAAGTTGTATGTTTGACCAAAGGCACAATCAGACGTTCTTTAACCCACAAACTGAGGTGAGCAAACCCTTCAGAGCAGCCCGTGTTGGTAGAGTGTTTGCATCTTTTCTTCCAGGACACCTTACAGGCTGCATGCGGTTTCCCGGCTAAGCTCATTAGAGAAACAGGCCAAGAAGGATAATGCCGTATGAATTCCCTGAGCCAGTCAGCTGACTGACCCTGCGTGAACCGGAGCAAAACTGGGCCCAGGTCTGGAGTCATCTCGCACCTCTTTCGATTTTTACTTGTAATCCTTTAAAGTGGCTGTAACCTACCCATGTCTGAATTTATACAGAACACCAAGTGCGTTGTGCCCGAAACAACAACCGGACAGAATTTCAACTGAGAATCGTAGCTGAAGCAGAAACAACTTGGTCTTTGTCAATCCAGTTGCAAATATGAAAACCTCTCAGGAATTAATTCTGTAGACTCTGAGCTGAACACGCTGGCTCAACTCGCCAGCTCACATTTTAATGCACTTTTTTTTTCTTTTTCAGGCAATCTGCATTTTCTTTGCTAATGTTTCAAACTGAGATGGCCTGACTTGGTTAGTAAGAATGTGAGACCCTGAGATGGAGTGGGAGGATAAATGATGGCGGGGTACAGAGTAACATTTAAAAACTTGCTGGCGCGAGGTTGGGCTCTTCCAGACTTGGAAAAGGTGAAACGGTTTTAAAATGTTCTTTAAAACCGTTTCCCTGAGAAATCACCAAGGTATACTTGAAAGGAAATGAGCACAAAAAGGCCTGGAAGCTTTTATTTTTGGGCATCTGAGCACAAGCAGAAAAAAAAAACCTCCTGTCATCAGCCTTTAGCTGATGCAACTCTCGCTGTTAAGAAATCATTTAAATATAATTTAGGAGTCTACTAACCAGTTCAAAAATCTTGAAAAAGTCCAGGTTGGCGTAGAGGATGTCCTCTATCTTCTGCAGCCTTTGCTGGCTGAGGGCACACATGGCGTTTCGCACCCCATGGAGTCCCATCCGACTGGGGAAGATGATGAAACGCTCCAGCAGAGCCTGGCTGCATGCTATGTTCTTCAGCTGCAGGTCTGGGACTCCAAACGCAAACTGGACAACACAAGGAGAAAGGCAAGGGCAGAGTTTTGAATTTCAAAGAAAACAACAGAAACTGCATTTTATTTCTTTTCTTTTTTGTATAAATATAAAGCTAAGACTTAGCAGAAATTTATTTTAAAGGGATCCCTGATTAGTTGTAACATTAGACTTTATTTGATTTATTATTTGATATTTGATTTATTGTTTAGATTATTCTTTTTATGTACTGTGCCCTGAGACAACGTATGTTGTGACTTGGCGCTATATAAATAAACTTGAACTTGAAATTGATAAATATATATTTTAACTGTAAAATAAAGACTGTAAAAATAATGTATGCTGTTTAGTTTTGTAAATTTCTAAAAATATATTTTAACACGGACGGAGCCATTTTATTTACACACAAAGCATTCTGGGTAAATGATGACATGGATAGGTCCTCGGTGTGAGGCTGCTAGCGAGCTATATCCACCCTGAAGGTTAATCTTGGACAATATCTGATGATCGACTCTTTTAAATGGAACCAGAGAGCGTTGACAGAGAGGAGAAGGTAGAAATGACTCAGCCTGTAACTGAAAATATGGATGGAGGACAACAGAGCTGCTTCATGGAAGAAGAACCTCAGCTAGCCTGTTAGCCTTTGCGCTAGTGCTGACGCTATACATGTATTAGCTCGCTGCTAGCACGACAAACAAGCTAAACTGAGATCCTCCATCCGTATTTTCAGTTGTAGGCTGAGACATTTTTCCGTTCCCCTCTCTGTCATGTGGGTGGAGGACCTCAGTGACGAGAGGAGAATGTGTAGCGCTGAGCTAATACATATATATGGTGATAGCGTCGGGGCTAATGCTAAAGCTAACAGGCTAAGCTGAGGTTCTTCTTCCATGAAGCAGCTCTGTTGTCCTCCATCCATATTTTCAGTTCCAGGCTGAGTCATTTCTACCTTCTCCTCTCTGTCAACGCTCTCTGGTTTCATTTAAAAGAGTCGATCGTCAGATATTGTCCAAGATTAACCTTCAGGGTGGATATAGCTCGCTAGCAGCCTCACACCGAGGACCTATCAACGTCATCATTTACCCAGAATGCTTTGCATGTAAATAAAATGGCCCTGTCCGTGTAATATATTTTTAAACTTTTAGTTTAAAAACGATAAAAACTGAACATCCTACAGTATTTTACAGTCCTTATTTTACAGTTAAACTATATGTTTATTAAATAAAGTCTAATGTTACAACTACTCATGGATCCCTTTAAAAAAACACACTTGTGTGTCCTAAAAAGCTCTTTTTGAAGGTTTGAACGTCACCTGCTCCAGGCGTATCTGCGCGTTTACGAGCTGGTGAACCACGGACTCCGAGAGGCCGGCGTCTCGTAACAGGAAAGCCGTTAAAACCTCGTCATCCTTCAGAACGTCACCAACTTTCAGGCCGCGGCCTTAATGGAAAAATCAGAAACAGTAAAATATCAGACGCACAGAATACAGAGCGAACCTGTGCAGAACAGCTGAGAAGAAAAGATTCACAGTCAAATAAAACAGCAGGAGAAATCAGAGAAAAGCTCCTGCCAAAGGATTAGGTGAAAGATATTGCAGCGTGTCTTTAAGCCAAAATAAAGAAACTGAAAAATTGACTGACATATACCAGTAGTCATTTTTTGTGTTGATTAATCTCATTTAGCTGTGGCAGCCATCTTGGAACAAATCCAAAAGTTAATCAACTGTATATGTGTTCATATATTTTGCAGGCAAACATTATCCCTCCAACTTTACCTTCATCAGTAAAAACTACCCCAAAATGTGAAAACTGGGCAGTATTAAAAGAATAACTCTAGGTAAAAGTGTGAAAATAAAAAGAAAATTCATATAAACATCAATCATTCCAACTCCGTTCATTATCTTCCTCTGTGCAGATTAAAGATCTGAAAACTTGTCTTTTAGAAACAACTTATTCGCCAAGTCGTTGAAACGTCCTTCACAGGAGACTAAAAACGCTTCTCACGAATTCCTTTTACCTGCAACCACAGAGGGGGTGTTGCGTAAAGTATCCATGAGGTTAGAGAAGGATGTGATGTCACGCCAAAGCCTGCCAAGCTGCTGAACTTCCGTCTGATCGAACAGAAGCTCCTGGATGTCCACGTAGAACCGTGCAAGCCTGGGGACAGGCAAAAAATAAAATAAAAAAAACCTAAAAGAACGGCCCTGAATGATTGTTTGAATATTGTTAGGAAGTTTCTTGTGCTTACACTGAGTTGTTATAGTTGGAAACAATGCCCGGGGACTCTCCCGGGGTTGGATATCTGAAGCAGGGGTTGTTGGCGTTGCAAAAGATTCCCTGGATCCAGGGGAGAATCCCTGCCGAAGGCATGGCCTTGTTGGGGAAGTGACCTGAACAAACAGACAGCGAGCACGTCCAGACTCATGACCTGATAGGAACAGACTTCCCAAAAGGGTTACTCTGCTTTAGCCTTCCCATGAAAGACATAAAGAAGGATGTGTTTTTATAGCTGAGAGGGGATTAGCAATGTTAGCCGCAGATGAGGGATCTTTGATTTCTCACACTCATGTTGTTGGTACAGTGGATTGGCCTTCCTCAACCACACGAGCCCGACGAACAACAACACCGGCCAGAAGACCTCCACCAGGAAGCGGATCTGAACAAAACCATGAGAAACTGTTATATTTAGTGTAGAACAAAGAAACAGAACAAAACGGAATCTGATACAACTGCTATAAAAATGAAAGTAGCATTCCTTGAAATAATGCCTATAGCCTGAGGCATTTCATTCCATCACTCTGAACAAAGCTGCTGAGTGGTGCTCAGAGGATGTGCAGTGACTGACTCTCAGCTACAACCACGCCATATTTCAGATCAGGATCTTTAAAAATGCACTGTAGTCATTTTTCTGTTTGCTAATGTCAAATGATCGTAGCATCCACCTTGAATTGGATTGACTCCAAAGGTCAGTTGCAGATGTGCATCTAATGAGATATTTTGCTAACAGACATATGCTACATTCACACAAAGACACATCGAGTTTATATCGTCACTTTCTGAACTGCCAGTGGTGGCGTCTAGGTGTGTTTTGTTTTGGAACGTTTACCTTTTGTCTTTTGCGGAGAGTCCAGTTTTTCCACAGTAACAGGCGGATCTGAGAGCCTCTGTTCATCGCTCTGCAGCTCAACCCCTGGAGGGGGTCATCCAACTGTGATGCACCTGCAGGTACACAACTTTACTGCTATGAGCAGCACATACAGTGCACTAGACCTGGTCCCATTATCGATTGGAACCTATCACCATTTGACCAGTTTAGTCATTTTGAACACAAAGTGGACACTGCTTTAATTGTTCATAAAACCTGACAACCAAAAATACTAAATATTATTTATTACCCATCACCACCATGAAGTGGACCAGATTTAATCGTGAATCTTTATAATGAAAATCAAACTTCCTACAACAAGATTACGCTCATAAATGTCTCAGAATGAATAACCAGATAAAGCATCTTTTATTGTTTCCCACTGGCTCTTACTTTTTCTAAATCTCTCTCTTCTCTCTGTTTCAGCTTGTTTGCGAGCTCCAGAACATAAACAGAGAAAAGTGAAGCTCCAGCCGACAGGATGAGGCTGAAAATTCCCATGAAATCAGCGAGGCTTCCTGCAGACCACGGCAGATGTTTATATATAACTCCTGCCAAAAAAACTGGAAACTCAACACTTCGTTTGCTCTCCGCTGGTAGATGCAGCTACTTGCTATGCAGCATTTCTCCATCTAAATGTTGTTTTTATTTGTGATTAAAAACTATCCATGCGCACTGAGAATGTACGAGTTTAATTGTCTTATATGCAGTGGTGGGCAGCACTAATCTAAATATTAGTTGCACTAACCCTAAAGCACTAACTCAAATATTTAGGTCCCCTAATTCTAAAGCACTAACTCAAAWATYTAGGTCCCCTWRTTCTAAAGCACTAACTCAAATATTTAGGTCCCCTAATTCTAAAGCACTAACACACTTAAAATTTTAGCAAAAGCTAATTCTAAACCACTAATATAAACCAACTGACACATGAAACATTCTTCAGAGTCAACATGAGACAATATTTACTGTGTGCAAAATGCTGTCACTTTGTGCCCTTGGTGGGCCAAATGGGAGTCACTCACTGGCCACATTTGGCCCAAGGGCCTTGAGTTTGACATGTGACCTTGTAAATAAGTGGCATATGAGCAAAATGTGTGACAGATTTCACCCTCAACTGTGAACAATAATGTTGATCAATAACATTTAAAAACCTCAGTTAGTGCTTCTAAATTTAGACCATAAATTTAGCAAGTGCTAATCCACTAATAAATTTTAAAAAAAAAATAGCAAAAGCCCTAAAGCACTAATCAAGAAATTAGTTCCCCTATTAGTGCTTTAGAGGAACTGTGCCCACCACTGCTTAAATGCAACAGGAGTCCAGCAAAACTGAAAATCTTAGAAACGCATTTCGTCTGCAGCCTATTCAGGGCGGCTGTGGTGGTTAGGGGAGTTGTCCAGCAGGTTGCCGGTTCGATCCCCCGTTTCAGCTGCCTCTAGTTGTTGTGTCCTTGGGCAAGACACTTCGCCCACCTTGCCTACCGATGGTGGTCAGAGTGACACCGGTGCATGGCAGCCCCGCCTCTGTCAGTGTCCCCAGGGCAGCTGTGGCTACAGTGTAGCTTACCACCATCAGTGTGTGAATGGGTGAAGTGTAAAGCGTTTGGGGTCCAGAGGGGCTTCATAAAGCACTATAAGTTCAAGCCATTTACTTCCAGAGCAACTCTGAGCTCAAAATCTATAAAACTGAGTTGTAGCCATTTTTGTGTTTGGCGGCCATCTTGGATTGTGTTAGCTCCAGAAGTTAATTAGCTGTAAATGTTCACCCATTTCTAGCAGCATCATTAAAATGAATCCAGAGTTATTTTGTTAACAGACTCTAAAGGCAAAGTTTATTGGTTAACGATGGGAGCGGCTCTCTGCCACCACACCAAATTAACCTCTAACTTCACTGTTTATTTTTTATAAAGACATTTTAATGAACAAAATCTTTGTTCTGCTCTTCCTTATCAGAGAGGAATAGGAACAGCGTGCAGCCATTGTTTACTTCCTTTGGATGCGACCCAACTTTCACCCTACAGCTCGGGTGAAACAACTCTTCTCTTTACAGCCATCAAACCTGGGAGTGATCCTCCTTCTAACTCATTTTGCTTCCAGGCTCAGAGCCTGCAGAGACGCTTCTGAGCATCATCTCTATAGACCCCCCGGTGGTCTGTTGGGTGAGGATACGTAGAAATCATGGCAGAATTTGGTTTGCAAAAAAGTAATAAACCATGAAAACTACAGGATGTTATTACTAAACTCAGTTCAGATTTAATGCCTGAATAAAAGAATGGATTTTCTACCTGCTCTGTCATCCAGATTTACTCCAAATCAATTCTGAAGATATTGCAGAGAAGAAAAAACATGAACACGTTATGTGCAGATGGACAGGAAAAGTAATTTTCGTTCAGAGCGACATGTCCAACAGATTACCGCAGACTGGCAGACGGAGGAGCACACAAACACTCCCGAGGAAAACAAAAGAGCAAAACTGCAGGACTAAAGCAGGAGAGCAAAGGCTGTTATTATGTCTGAAATCACACTGACTCAAACTCAAATTATACACAACAGGATATTCTTGCACAAGATTGGTCACATTAATGTAGAAATGTTCTTGCCAGCATGTCAGCTCATGAAGAAGCTGCTATGAGAGAAGTACAACAAACAAAAAATAAAAGCAATAAGATGCAACGACAGCAACTAATAACCGCACACCTGTCAGCTCCTGGATCGTCCAAAGCTTTCAGGCTTTGCACGTGGAAAAATTAGGACGTAATTTAGATGCTTACCTTTTATCAAAAGATAAAGTCAAACAACATCAGGAGAGAAACAGGTTCCCAAAAAAAAAAAAATAAGAAAAAGAAAAGATGCTGAAGTAGTGGAAACATTAAGCAGTCAAAATGAGCTTCGAAAGACTCAGAGCTGCTCGCTCGCTCTGCCTGCAGGTCAGCAGCACTCCTAATCTGATTGCTCTAATCTCCCGGCTCAACATGGGCAGGCAGAAATAAAGAAAACAGTCATCCATTCTGAGGTGGAATTAGGCGGATAGCTGCAGAAGAAGAAAAGGAGAAATTGTTGGTGGAGGGAAAGACGGGAGGTGGGCTTCATCAGAGCAGCAGCCAATCTGTTTGTCAAAAAAATAAATAAAAAAACAAGATTCATGAGATTTACCTGCACAGTCCTTTACATCACTCTGGAGGGGACTATTTCAGCTAAGCACCTACAGAATAAATTAGAGTTTGGGCTTAAGTCCCACAGGAGCGGCGAGGACTGGAAGACGAGAGATTATGTTTTTTGTGTGTCACACACGTTTGAAACGACGCTCCGCTCTGAGCCGCAGCGAGCGATGGCGCAGGTGACATGAGTAATTAGGTGAGGAGAATGTGGAGGATTGATAGTGGCACATTAAAACCACCTGAGGCTGCGGCACGCACGGCTTAGCCAAAAAAACTGCGACTAATTTAAGACTTAATGAGAGAAAATTTCAAAACAGCAAAAGGTGAACGGCATCTCCCAGGATTTAGGACGGAAATCTAAAAGCAGAAATGTTACAGCATCTTAGGAGCTCAAGATTCAAAGAAAAACATCAACTGGAGGAAATAAATGCAACTCTGTGTCCACTATTTGAAATGAAAGTTTAGTAGGAAACTTTTATGTAATGAATCAGGTTTTTTTTACTCTATAATTGTTCTGAAAAGTATCTGCAAGTAGGCCAGAAAATCACAGCACTTCAGTGTACGTTTTTTCCTCTTGCCAAACACAGAATGGATAAATAATTTAAAGTTTTATCAACTGTAAATGAAATATAAATGAATCTATAAAAGATGCTTTTTAAAGAAAATACAGTCAAATGCTGGCAGCTTTGCCAAAATGCTAAAATTGAGATATTGAAGCTAAAACAAGCAAAACAATAGCTAAAAGTAGCAAAACGCTAGGCTAGTTAAAAGCTAAAACACAGTGAAACATTGACCTGAACTCAAAACTTTCTAATTATTAAAAATAACTCTTGTAATTAGTGTTTCCAATTTTATAAATTTCATAAAATTACGCAATTCCATCATTTAAAGCACAACTTGCATATTGTACAATACACACAGTGTAAAAAGTCTAAATATAAGAAAAGATTTCCAAAAAAAAATCTTTAAAATATATATAAATTTTAATTTGCAGCAAAGGACTGTTGCATGTCATTTCTCTTCTTTATATTCACAGCTATGAGATGAGCCAAACGTATTGTGACAAACAGGGAATATGTAGGAATATATAAACAGATATGTGCTTTCAGCCTTACATATTGAGAAAAGATCAACAGGCTTAAAAAATAAACATTTATAATTGAGAACACTGCATTAGGAATACTTCAACGTTGGCCTTTACGAATTAAAATTTAAAGGGGACAGAACTCCAACTTGCAAGTGCATGGTGTAACGTATTCAGTAACAAATCAAACACTGAACATGGCTTCTGTTTGCTGACAGGAATCCATATTGTTATTGTGTCATATAAAAACAGCACTTATGTAACAGTTTTTAAACAGACCAGTAAACAGTTATGTTGGCAGTAGGATTTAAAAAATACACTGACCAACTCCTGTTGTAGCTGGAACTTGTAAAACAGATGGTCTTCGAACACTTTTGTGGTTTTTGTTCACATGCCCACATTTTCTCCCAGTCTTTGTTGATAAACATTTTTATAAAGTGAAATTCATATTTACAGATTTGGTTTTTTTTTTGTTGTTGTTGTTGTCAGACAAAATGAGCTTCTCTCTGTTCGTGCTCCTCCAGACGATGGGGTCGCAGTCTGGGTTTAGTCTCGCTGGGGCTGAGGTCGTCGGGGCTGCTCGGGGGAGGAGACTGAGGGGGTGAAACGGTAGGGGAGGCGGAGACCCCGGGGTCGATGGCGCTGTCTGTAGAGTCCTGTGTCTGGTGGCGGGACTGTGTGAGGGCAGGGGAGGAGGGCACTGACAGGGGACTGAGTGAGGGGGAGACTGTAGTGGGAGTCCAGGTGGGCAGTGTCCAAGCTTTGCTGCTGTTAGAAACGGGGGGTTTGTAGAAAGTTCCAGGCGGGGGCTGAAGAGTCCGTGGTGCCCTGAGTGTTAGTGGAAGCTTTGGTGAACTGTTCGACAAACACACTGAGTCGTCTGTGCTCTTTTCTTTTATGAAAGTCCTGACAGGTTTGACTGACGCTGCGCTGACGTTAGTGGAGAAAACGGTGCTCACGCTGCTCGTGGTGGAGACAACAGCAGCAGTGGTTGTAGTCGGGGTGACGGTGACGGGCACGGTTGCCTTTACGGGCTGCAGTCCAGCGCCAGAGGGGGGCAGATTGGCGACTATCATAGCAGTCCTGGGCGTCACCTGATAGTGCTTGTATTTCTTGTCCCACGTCTTCCTCTGCATTGTCTGTGTGTCGATAAAAGGAGTGATGAAATAGGTGCTGACTCTGGACGAGCTGCTTGGACGAGTCTTCTCCGGCTCGGGCATCTCCAGGATAGTTTCAGTGTCCCGCTGAGGACAGCTTCCGTCGACGCTGTCCAAAGCGTTTCGGCTGTTCCTCTCGCTGACCTGCGCAGACGTGGCCAGGCGATCCACAGGCATGCTGATGGGTCGGGACAGCTGTCGGGTGCGCTGGATGCGCAGCTGAACCTTCGGCGCCGCGGTGTTAGCAGAGGAGTTCGACGCCGACCTCTGAGCTTCTGCTCCACCTGAAGCCTGCACCCCGTTGGGTTTCTCAGAGGATGAGACCGGAACTTTGTTTCTTCCAGGCTGGACCTCCTGAACCTCGTCCAGAATGTGTGACGACGGGATCACAGAGGAGTATCTTTTGTACACTTTGGAACTCTGATGAGAAAAAAAACAAATCAATGAGATTACCATCACAAATATTTTCACATGGAACCTTTTAACACATAAATCAAAAAAGAAGCATACTGGAAGAAAAACAACTTCAGTTTCAACAAATGAACAGACAAAAATAGTTTTTTGTCTGTTTTTTCCCTAACAAAATGCATTTTTTGCTAGAATAGCTCCGTATTACCAATAAAGGAGACATGTCCTGCTTCTAAATCCTTTTTTCCACATTTAAATCCTTCAGTGGGTCTACATACAGTGGGTAAAATAAGTATTGAACACGTCACCATTTTTCTCAGTAAATATATTACTAGAGGTGCTAATGACATGAAATTTTCACCAGATGTCGGTAACAACCCAAGTGATCCATACATACAAAGAAATCAAACCATAAATGTCCAGAAATGAAGTTATTTGTAATAATGTGGAATGGCACAGGGAAAAAGTATTGAACACACTTACTGAAATTTTTCTAATATGTTGTACAAAAGCCTTTATTGGCAATGACAGCTTCAAGATGCCTCCTGTACTAGTC